AAAAAAAAAAAAATTAAATTAAATTAAATTCTCATTATAAAATAAATTCTAAAAAAATTTTAAATATATAAAGAGCTTTTGAATAATTTTTTTATATATTTAATTTTATGGAGTACGTAAGAAAGAGTCAGGGGAACCATTTTTAAGACCTTTAATAGTATTCTTTGATGATAATCTATTAAGTATATTAGACATTTCATTAGGAGATCTATTACCAAATTCTGAAATTATAAGAGCTATTGTACCAGCAACATGAGGAGAAGCTTGAGAAGTACCGGATAATTCTAAAACATCATCATCAGATTGATTACCAGCACCTTTAATATTAACACCAGGAGCGAATATATCAAGACATCTTCCAAAATTTGAAAAATCAACAACTTGATCACTATCTTCTTCTGTAGCACCAACAGTGATAGCAGTAGGAGCAGAAGAAGGAGAAGATTTACAAGCATCTGTATCATCATTACCAGCAGCAACTACTACATGAATACCAGCATTGGTAAGATTTTCTATAATATTATTCATAGATTTTGAAAAATCACCATTAAGTGACATATTAATTATTGTATTCTTATTTTGATTCTTATTATGTTCATTAAGTACAAAGGACATAGCATTAATAATATCAGATTTTGAAGCATCACCAGTAACGTCAAAAACTCTAACAGCTATAATATTTGCTTTTCTTGCTACACCAAAAGTAGTTCCAGCAACAATACTAGCAACCTGAGTTCCATGACCATCTTCATCTTGATCATTACAATCTTTACAAAAAGAAGCACCAAATCTTGCACGATTTCCAAATTCTTTATGAGTAATTCTTACACCAGTATCAATTATGTAAATATTTGTACCTTCACCGGCACTAACAGGATAAATGAATTTTCCATCTAATGGACGTCTAGATTGATCGATACGATCAATATTCTTTGTTGGATTCTTTGCTATAGTACGTTTAGTAAAATCAAGAGGTAATACACGATTAATTTTAAAAAGACCATCCTTTTCAATATTAATACCGGGTATATTAGAAAGATGTTTATCAATAAATGATTTTGTAAAATAACCACAATATCCGTGAAGATAACCTTTAACGGAAAAATCCATGAGAGTATTTTTATCATTTAATAACTTATTTGGAATTATATGTTTTATGGGTCTTTTCCAACAATTTTGCATGGTATCAAAATGATTTTCAATTGCTTCATTATCAGATTTATTAAATGTGATAATATATTTTTCACCTTTTTCATTGAAGTGATCATCAATTTTATCTAAAGGTCCAGGACATTTTAAATTTTTTTTTGTTGATTCAACTGAAGAAACCAAGAAACTAATTATCACAGCAATAGAGAAGATTTTAATGAAGCGTGGAATAATCATTTTGTTTGATTAATAAATAATTCAAAATAATGATAAAAAATGAATGATGAATGTTTTTTCATGTAATTAAACGAAAGGTTCTAATCTAAAAGAAGGTAAGGTCTAAAGGTTTAAAAACCTATAGAAATTATGAATGGATAATAAAGAGTTGATAAATTATTTCGCCACTTTTTTATTAAAAATAAAGGTGGAATAACGATAAAGATTTACTTTTTGAAAAGAAGATTCGAATTGGGAATTCTTTATATATAAATTAATTTCATAATTTTAATATATTATATTTTCGTTACGTGTAATATAAAAATGAATTTACTTTTATTGTACATTACTATATTTTATTCTTTTTGATTGTTAACTTAATTCGATTAACAAATGTATGCAATTAAATTAATCTAATTTGCTGATCATCTCCGTTTTTAAGAAAATCTTTGGCGCAGCAAATAAGAACAATACGAGTTTTTATTTTAAGAAAAGTACTGTTATTAAATAATGGGAATTTATGATCATATAATAAATATATATATATATTACATTCAATATCGGTTCATCCGGATTTGATTACGAGAAAAAATTTTTTTCATTATGTAGATTAAATTAAGGACAATTATACGATAAATTAGATTTTGTGTAACAATATTAGAATATATATGGTTGATAAAAGTATGACGAATAATAGAAATTATCGACGTTTTCGTAAAATAATGAAAAAACCAAATGTATTTTAACGTTTATTATTATTATTATTATTATTTTAACTTTATTTATTATTATTTTTTTTTTTTTTTTTTTTTTTTTTTTTTTTTTTTTTTTTTTTTTTTTTTTTTTTTTTTTTTTTTTTTTTTTTTTTTTTTTTATTAAAAAGAAAAAACTAATAAAACTTATGTTAGTAGAATAATTATCATCCTATGTCAATTTTTTTTAACGCATTTTTTTTTTCTTAATAGAAAAATTAAAAAGTATCACGTTAAGGTTATTTTTAATTTTTTTTTAAAAAAAAATAAAGTTTATTTTTAAAAAGTATCTAAAATTAAAACAATCAATCATTTGCGTACTGCAGTATTTTCAGTAATAATATAATAATGTAATAATGAAGTATATATATGGTATTACAACATTTTTAGTGTGACATTAATTAAAGCATTAAATTTATGCAATTGATCAAGTTCATGTCATGCAATTGTATCCGAAATCTTTCTAAAATTGTATTTCAATAAGAATTTTCTTATGTGAGATCTTTAATTTAAAAAAAAAAAAATAAAAAAATAACAATGTAAATAAAAAAATATTAAATGTTTAACGAAAAAACAAAAGAAAAATGTTGAAAAGATTCTAATAATCGAATGAAAATTCGATCATATTTTAAATGTTAATAATTTAATATAATATTTTTTTTAAAAAAAGAATAAATTCATTCATAATAAATTTAATACAGAAAAATAAATGAATTAAAATTATCAATTTAAAGTTTATGCATGATAATAATTATTAGAACATTACGAGAAATATAAGTAATAATAGGACAAAACAACAACACGATTAATAGAGAACGGAAAACAAGTGTAGTTAGTACCCAAATATTACAGGTTTCGTAAATCATAAAAAGTTAAAGGTCAAAATTACAAATCGAAAGTAATAAATATTTATATTAATAATAATGATTTTCAAATTTACCCAATAATCTACCAATCAGTATTATCTCATTATATGAATAAAATAGCTAATTATCAAGTTTTATATGAATATTTTTTAACATACGGAAATTTGGACGATGCTTACGGCGGTTGCATGATTATCGGCAACAAACTGCGGATAATTCAATTAATTATATAGATGTATTTACGTTAGGATGCGCTTCCCCAATAACGTAAAAAAATTTGCGCATATTTTAAAAAGTTGTTGTGTAATTTGTGATACGATAATATTTGACGGTAAGATTGACGTCATCATCATCATAACGCACATGACACTGACGGCCGTCAAAAACACGTGATTTTTTTTTTTTGAATATTCCGTATACAGTGTATCATCTAGTTTCGCAAATGTAATCTGAGATTGATATTTGACTAATAATATACATTGAATAAATCTAATTCCGCGTTATACTTTTGCAAATTTCGAAAATCTATCTATCATTATTACTTGGTAATCCTAGCAGATTAGCAATCTCCTTGTTTGATCTAAACCACTTTTTACCCCATTCGAGAAATGATAAATTTTCTCCATTGATCTCGGCCTTCATTTTTGAAAGCCATTTCTGAACGTAATTTTAGTCATGGTTATCCGGAATTGCCATGAATTCTGGAATTCTGTTCATAAAGAAACGGCAAGCAGAAACAAGAGTTGCAGCCTTCTTTTTAATTAATATAAAATGAATTTTGGCTTGATCTTCTTTGAATTTTTCGTATTTATTAGAAAATGTTAGCAATTCTTGATGCAGAATTTCAAAGAACTGAGTAACAACACCTATATAAAATCCCATGTTAGTATGAATGAGATAAATTTGAACTTTTTCTACCAAAAAATTCGAGCGGAAATAAAATACCTAAAATACCTATAGCATTAATAAATTCATTAATAGACTCGACTAAAGTTACCTTAATGGCCTTAGCTCCAGCAACTGCAAGTTTTTTCTCTTCATTAATGGCTATTTCTTGTGCAATAATGGCTTTCTGTTCACTAGCGATAATTGGGGGAGCTGTTAACAATAGGAATAAAGGCTAAAACAAGGGCCAATTCATCCTTTTCCATAGCTTTACGACGTAGTTCCGCCTCATAACGTCTGGTTTCCATTTGTAAATCATTTAAAACGATGTTTGCTTGATCCTCTAGTTTCTTGAATTCAGCGTAAACAGCTTTATGAAGTTCTGATACGTATTTACTAAGTTTGTAGTTTTCTTCTGCTTTTTTAGCCAATACATGAACATCTTCCTTGAATTCATCAAAGGATATGGCATCATAAGTTTCACTGAACTCTTGGAGATGTCGGATGAGCGTGGTTGCAATTGGTAGAATCTGGATGCTGTATACCTTTGCTTCATTGGTAACAGAACTACGAAGATTGACAAATGACCACAAAGATGAATCTGCTCTAATATAAGCGCTGCGGAGAGACAAACTGGCAATTTCCAGCATTATCAAAGCCTTCATAACATTACTACTGAGCTCGTTATCACTATTTTCTGTTAATTTTACTTCTGTAGATTCTACCCTCGGGTAAGAAATGTGGTTGACACAAATGAGGTAGAAAAAATACAAGACTACTCTCCTTGACATAAATTTCATTTTAAACCGAAATTTTTTTATCAGAAATGTACATAGATATTATAGAGGTTGGAACCGACCAAAAAAACCTTAACCGATTAATAATCGACTAATCAGTTACCATAACCGAATAATAATCGGTTAATTAATCGGTTAATTAATCGGTTAATTTGTGATGAGGTTAACCGATTAATTAATCGGTTAATATATAAATTTTGCACCCTATATGGATAATATACATGTATTATTTCAAAAAGTTATATCAAATTTTAATGGGAAACGAGAACTGACTTTAATTCAAGGTTTACTTAAATGG